TATAGGAAATCAGAAAAAAAGTTTGATTTTGTCGGACAGTGTAATTATTGCCCCACCCTGTATTCAGAAATACAATCTAAAATACAAATAGAACTTAATAAAGAAATGTTTGTAAGTTTTTATACTGACTGTTGAACATCCCGTTCTCTGACCTTACATTTCATAGATCAGAATTGGATATTTACAACATACACTCTCACAACAGAAAAAATTGGGAAACGATCGTATCGCACAGAATTTAGCAGATCATCTTAAAACTTCCATAGACAAGTGCAATTTAAATAATAACAGTCACATTACAATTGTCCATGATAATACTCAATCTAAAATGAATGCTATTAATTTAGTAGGTGATATCGAAGGAGTTGTTTGTACTGTTCATACTATACAATTACGTGTAAAAAAGTGTTTAAGTTTCAATGAAATTGTAGATGCTAGCACTAAAGGTAATAAAAAAGTTAGCCATTCTCGTCGTTCTGTTTTAGCTAGGACAGTTGATAAAAAAACAAGAACAATTAAATCTCTTATACAGAGTTGTCTAACTAGATGGAACTTTACATCTTACATGTGCGAAAGACTCCTTAACACTTTACCGACCGCTAGCAGTTGAACGTCTCATTCAGCCGTAAATATTTCCCTGACATCGGCTCTGTTTCAGTTTTACAGACTTTCGCGCTTTTCCTCTTGCTCAGAGAAATGTTAAATCAAACTTTGTGGAAGTGCTTTCTGTTATTATAGGATACTTAAATTTAATAACATTTACATATTTTCATAACATTAGCATTAAACAATATTTGTTTTATCTATTTCATTTATTTTATATATTTTCTTTATTTCATTTTTATTTTATTTATTTTATTCGCCGCGGAATGTATCTAATATTTGAAAAATTAGGTAATAAAATGGAAACTTACAGTAGTATAATCTAACGCTTTTACCTCAATAATAGATAACAAATTATTGGTTGTCACGACAACCGATTCACACGTTACCGATCGGGGTAACAAGCCGATTTATAGGCTATCGGTCGGGGTAAAAAGCTGATTTAGGGTCGAAACACACATCATGCCAGGCTCGGTTGTGCTCCATGGCAGAGACATTCTTGTATTTAATTCACAGACGGAGGGAGTGCCGTGCCGTACCATCCAGCCGATACTGTTGAACATTTATTACGACTGAACATTTTTTATTTGACATGTTTATATTAAACAATTATGTGGTTATTCGTTAAATCTATTTTTAATTTTTTATACATATTAAATTAATAAAAACTTTGAAATTTTTAATTCACGTATTTTTCATACATGTGTATATGTCGCTCGACTATTTAGATATATTAGCCCAAGAAATCTATAGAACATAAATATAGTTTTAAATATACTTGTAGTTTATAATTAATGTTAATAAATTTCCTCACATCTCTATCTAACTTCTTATAATAAGCTTCATGGAATAAACATCTCGTTTTAATACGGAAGGTACTATTTCTTGGTACGAAAATATCAAGAAAGGTATAAACAATTGTAACGTCGTAATTGTTAATGTGTTCTCGTATATGTATATGCCGATATTCGAACATGTGCATATATACTCAAAATTACGCAAATTAAAATATATCCTCGAAAGCCGTAAATAAAGTTGTTTGGTGCACTTCGTATGAAACGTTGGAATACTCACGTAGCCATTTTATCCGATTTATGGTGTGTTTGGACTTCTCTTAATCAGAAAAAACATTATCAGTTCATTGATACTGTTTCTAAAAAAAGATTGTCATGTACATACAGGGTGTTCCAAAAATGTCTTGTATTACGGAAATGGGAAGTAGCTGAGGTCATTCTAAGTAACTTTTTCCTTAACGAAAATACAATCTGCAGCTTTGTTTATTAACAAATTTTGCATTATTGCATGCATTATTGATTAATGAGAGGCGAGGGCGCCAATTACAACGCGGTTGATCGATCGGGTGCCACGTGCTTCGACCGTGGAGCGTGACAGATGAAAGAGGGTTCAGTGCAGCGTTCGAATCAATGAATAAGTCATGGAGCCTGAACTTCCGAATTTTATTTTACTACCAGAGCCTCAACCTTAAATCTACTCTATTTCTTATTTTTTTTCAATTTGTTGGTTATCATATCCTCATTTTTATAACCATTACATCCTTTTTCAAACAGTTCTTCAACTGAAATATTATTCAGAAAGTTTATCGACTGCCCTAGTACAAATATTCTTTCTGCACGTTGCTGTTCGCAGCTTACATTTCGTTGATTTATTAATTTTTCACGTTCCTTGTTTAGTACATCTGTGTATTTCTTCTGCACGCCCTTGATTTTATCGGTAGCTTCTGAAGTCATTTCTTTGTTGAAATCTATGCTGACTAATACTTCATAAATCTCTCCTTGGCATCTATCTACAGCTCCACCCATGCCATGCCAATCGTTCGCGTATCTTGGAACGATTTGGGTATGGGCTAGAAATGTATCGAGGTTATTGTAAATCCCTTCAAAATTCTTCTTTAACTCTGAGTTGATCACAAATCTAAGCACATGTGCCGAGGGCAAATCGCTTCCTAGCCCGCTACTTCCATCTGTGCTTTGACTTGCCCCAGCTTTAATTATTTCACTTCTACTCATACCGGTGACCATCTCGGCAATCTTTTGCACTGCTCCAGCTAAGCGAATAGTGCGTTTGAAACGATCGAAAAAGTGAACAGCGACTTTCTTCACTTTCTTCACTTTCTTCCCTTTCTTCGTTTTCTTCGAAGGGTTCTCAGGGGTAGCGAACAATCCATTGTTAACGGTCGACGATGAATCATCTACAAATCTTTGTCGCTTACGCCTTGAGTTTCCACCACCAAACACACCATGCCGCAAAGGGAGCGCATGCCAGCCTTGCTTGATGTGATTTTGTATTTTCGGATCACGTTCAATTTGATCAGCTACTCCATTCCTGAAATCATCTCGTGACATATTTCTTAGTTCAGGTATACCTTCCGATAAAGCTTGACGCAAGCAATCGTTCATCGATCCACCACTTCCTCTGGTCTCCGATTCTCCGCTTCCAGAAAGCCGGTAATGATTATCTTTATGCTCGAGGTAAATAATTGGCACGTTTGCTCCTTCTGGCGCCGAGGAGAATGTTTGTCTTATACCGCCTTCTCCCGTGACAACGATGGTAATGCCTGGTATATCAATTCCTTGCTGTTTCAAGAATCCAGTTACGCACTCGAGAGACGCACTGATACAAACCATATCCATTGGGATATTTTCTCGGACTGCTTTTGCGAATAAACGAGGACAACGAGTCTTCTCCAACAACTGCTTTATATCCTCCTGATACTTCTGTTCAATTTGTTCTTTTATCTTAGACACGTCATCGTGCTGTTGCTGTTCAGTATTCTCCAACTCTTCGCGATACTCCTGCGTTCTGTTGTCGAAGTACTTACTGTTCAGACTTTCCTTGTAGGACCGATATGTTTCCGCTATCATTTGTCCAGCATATCTTATTATGCGATTAACACCTGCTTTAAGAATAGGACCTACAATATTCTGTTCTATCTTCTGTCCAACCTGGTCGCGAAGTAGTTTCTGCCACATCGCGATTATTTGGTTTTTGAACCTCTCACAGTCATCCTCTGCTTCTTGTTCACGGACCGGCGAGCATCGATCAGCATGTTTACGCAACTCGCTCTTGATCTCCTCGTTCAAATGATTTAAAAACCTGCTGGTTACTAGTGCCATATCGACAATTTGTAAAGAATGTTCCAACAAAACCGCTCCTATACTGATGATACGAATAGGAAACTGCATGGTATTGCTTGTCATGCTTCTTTTCTCAGCAGCATTCGCAATCCCCTGAATTACCGAATTGGCTATGCTTTTTACAGCAGGTAAAAACTCTTGCATGTAACTTTTCTCGGAAAAAGCACTCTTGGTTAACTTGTCGATCAAGTTTGTTGCTTCCTTCGCTCCTAATGTTTTGTAGGCTTCTTTCAAGCTTGTAGAAATATCGTGCATCCCTACGCAGCGTTCAATAATTAATATAATCTCGGAAGACATGTATCTACAAAACTCTCGAAGCTGATTTTCAATGAGACTGTCGACCATCGTGTTAGCAAAGCCAAACACCAGCCCTTCTATAACCTTCGACACAATACGCTTCGCAAGTTCTTTTCCCACCCATTTGCAACCCGCGATTTTAATTAGTTGTATGCCAGACGTTTCGGCGACTTTACCACCAACCTGCAAGCCAGGTCCAGCTAGTTTATGACCGTAATACGATACCTTAGCGCCACTCGAAAAATATGCTCCTACGCCGACTGTTATGGCTGTCATTATTACACTCTCGAACTTCTGTTGCCTATAATTTTTCCAACTAAAATAGCCTGACCACAACGCTCCGCCAGCATAGAAGATATCGTTTACACCTTCGCTAATAAATCCAGCTGCGAGATGAGTGAAGGTACCTGCCGAAAATAACTCTATCATAGCACCTATCACTATTTGAACTGTCCCTATTAAAACGACCATCGCAATGTTAAAGAGCATTTTTCTCGACCATCTTTTCTCTTCGAATTGCAGCACGTAATCTAAACTATTCAGAAAGAAGACATGTACCTCTACTATATTTGCAAATTCACCTTCACCAGAGAACTCAGCGAGACATTTTAGTTTAATACTAGGAACTTCTAACGATATCAGTGCGCTTCTTAACGATTCTAAAGTATTGATCACGTTTTTCATCGTATCCTCTTTCGCCAGTACTAATCGCCTGTCAAAAATCTTTCTTATCGTATCTTCGAAATCTTTGTAAGAAGAGTCCAGAGGCTCTCGCTCATTGCCAGAGCCGTTGATAGAATAAAGGTTTTTAAATTTAGATACAGCAACGTTCGTAACAGTTTCTGGAATTTCGTTAATAACCCGAACGCCTTTCTCTTCGATTGATTGAGCCAGATGGTATTGAAGAATCCATCTTTTATCGACTAGATGATGAAAAAGCGCTTCCGTACGTTCCTTTGAGATCGGTATGCTCTGGGAAAGCATATCCATCAAATTGTCGTCGGTCGCCGGTAATTTATACAAACTCCTCACGTTTGCGTCTAAATCGCCAGTTGTCACCGTAGCAGGTACGATGATTCCTTGTTGCAGTAATTCTAACGTCATACTTCGATCAGATTTGCTCATCAACTGTATGCGAACAGGAAAGTTTTTCTCTTCGAATTGTTTTGCAATCTTCTGCAGGGCTATTCTATAAGCGAAACGCACGCCCAACAGACATTTCACGGCGTTCTCATATACTGGACAGAACGGCATCTGAACCTGATAGATCCCATCGAATTGAACTTTCAGTCCGTAGACACTGTTTTCCGAGCGATCCTTCTTCTCGATGATGTTCCGTTTAACGAGTTCTTCCAAGATTCGTTCAGCCTCGTTTCTCACGATATTAATTTCGGTAAAATCCTCCAAAGTAATCGAATCACACTGGGAGAAGCCGACAGATCCGATTTTGTCTTTATCTATACGCGCTTTTCTGTTAAGCGAGAGCAACCCTTTCTTTTTCAATGCTCGATATTTGTCGTCGCCTACGGCCTTCACAAAGTCACCTTTCTTGAAAACGTTCGCGTTATTTTTATGCTGCACGATTCGTTCCGCGTATAAAAAGATCTCTCCTTTATCGGACTCGGACTCCAGTGTGTGCTTCTGCAGCCGTTCGACGACAGTCGAGACATCCGACAGCAACGGATCGGTTTCATTCAAATTATCGACTATGACATACTTAACCTCATCGTATAGGACTCGTTCGTCGATCAGCGATTTCCAGAATCGGCTCCGACTAGGTAGTCGCATTTGATTTTTCAATGCCTTTTGAAATTTCTCCTCGCTGATCGTTCTCCCTTTGTATTCGGAAAGAAAGTCTTTTAATGTTTTGGCCGATATTCCATAACCAGCGCATACCTGTTCCAGCTCTTCGTCAGAAACGTCATCTTTTATTCGTGGCTTTGTCAAGGTACCTTCTCGGAGAAAATCTTCGTATAGAGCTTCAGCCAATTCCTCTTTAACGTCATCGTTAACGAAAGACTGCGGCGTCACGACGTGACCGAGGATGTCGTCTATGGACTGTATGAAGACGCAGTAAAGATTTAATAAGCTTCTCTGCTGTTTTTCATAAGCGTCGATTTGAATAATGCTCTCGTTATTATTCTTCTTGATCTTGGCGATAATACCTGTGGCTGTCATGGCAGCCGTAGTACGTTCGTCGAAAAGCCTTCCAGCTTCTCGTAACTCTTCCTTCATCATTTTCAGGATCGCCTTATTTGTTTCATCCAGAGGTTCTTCTTCCCAGTCTATCTTCTTTGCCAGTGCAAACGCCTTGTAATAATGCGCTGCTTCGGAAAACTCTGGTACTTGTCCGATCACTTGATCGAACAGTTCAACAGCTTTGTCAAGCGTTGAAGGCTGATGCTGGCAGAGATACTTGCCGAGTTTTATCGTTTGAACCGGGTTCCCCCGAACCCAAGCCGACCAATTCCTGCTATCACGTTCTAGACATTTCAGTTTCGAAATAAATTCGTTCATCAACTCGTAAAAGCTTCTTATCCCGCGATCGTTTACCAGGTCCTTGATGCGCCTGTTATTCTCGTCCAACCAAAAAGCCCATTTGTCTAAACAGCTGTGCAATAGAATCTCTTTGACCTCGGCAGGTACTTTGTCCTTATCAAGGTTTTTCTTCAATCGTTCGTACTGGTTTTTGAACATATTAAAGCAATCCTCTTCGACGGTAATTTGCGTTTCGTAGTAGGATTTTATCTCGGATATGCGACGCAGCTCATCGGCGTTGCGCTCTATCTTTAAGTCAACGATCTTCAAATTGCTGTATGCCTGTCCTTCTACAGCTACAACGATCAGTTGTCCAGATCCTTTTTCCCCGCTTCTCGCTGCTCGCCCGAACGCTTGCTGTTCGATCCGAATGTTTCTCGGCAGATAAGTCAAACAGACATGCAAACCCCCCGCTTCCGCCAACGCTTTCGTAATCTTGATATCTGTTCCGCGACCGGCTAGATTCGTCGCGATAATAATATGTCCCCCATCCAACCGCTTACCGTCACAACCGGCATCGAACTTTTCGTAGTCGCGCGTGTACGTGCGGACAGATTTCACGTCTTTCCTGTCGAAAACCGTACGCAAGATCTCCACGTCATTCACCGTTTCGCAGATGATCAGAACGGATCGTTTCTCGGTTCGCTTTCGTACCTCGTTGTATATCCGATCCTTCCATTCCCGTTTACTGGTGCAAAGAATGGCTTTGTCCTCGTGGAACTGCTTCGATCTCGCTGTAGGAATGGTAACGAAGTCGACTCCGTGTATCTTCTTCAACAGAGCCCTTTCGCTGGGCGAGCCTAAAGTCCCCGTCAGGCCGTACAAGTTCCGATACAATTTCAAGAAAGAAACGTTCGAGACGAACACAGCCTTCAAGCTCTGTAGAGACAATTTACAGCCGTGTTTCAGCTGTAGAAACTGGTGCAGCGCCTCGTCCCATTGGGAGTTAGCTTGATCCGTTCCCGTGTCTCTGTCGAGAATCGTGACATTGGGATCACGGTCCGGACTAGTACCGGTTCGGTCCACGTCCACCACGTAGTCTTGGTCAGCTTTCATCAGGAACGCGGTTATAGCGCTCTTGATCCAGGATTCCAAGTGCCGTTCGATGAAAGGTCTGAGGTGGTTGGGGACCTTTATCAACTTTTCCCTCTCGGCGGTCTCCTTTAGAAGATAACCAAGCCGATCCTGGTAATCGCTGAACTCGGGTCCAATTATTATCTTGAGGCGGTCCTTTCCGATGTTTCCATCCAGCAACTTGCCCTGGCCATTTAATATCCCAGCCGTGATCAAACGCTCCCATATTATCTTCCTATGTTGCTCGCTTAAATCAGGGCCAAGTTTCTCAATATCCTTGCATCTTACTAAGCCGAACAAGTCGTCTAGCACCGCTTCTTTAATTGCTTCGCCGTCGAAAGCATTGAGTAGCTCGTCGGTGTTTCCAGCCGGTCTGTTGATCCACTGCCAAATGTAAACGTAAACGGACTCCAGCTTATCGAAGTCCGCCAAATCGTGAGACAAGTACAACACGTTGTTGCCCTTGTCGAGCAGCATGCTGTCCACCTCGTCGACAATCACGTTCTCGAAGTTACGATCCCCTAAGATATTTCTCCCGTAGAACTTGTCCAGCAAATAGTCGCGCTGGAAATTCGATAGGTCACCGTACACCACCTGATTACCAGAGTACGCTTTTTTTCTTTCTTCAATGTCCTCGCTGCAGTTGTGCGATACGTTCACGTTGAACAAACCATAAATGTCGCTGTTCTCTTCCGCATCTCGTTTCGCTAACACTGAAGAACTGGTTATAATGTCTACCTTTTTTCGGCACAGCGCTTTCATGATCGACGCTGCTACTACGATCAACGATTTTCCCTCTCCAGTGGACACTTGCGCCAAGGTGCGTTTGTTTGCTAACAACGCCAACACAGTTAACTTTTGAGTATCGCGAAGCTTGAATCCTCTCTTCAGTTCTATCGCTCTAACTATTACAGCAAGCATTTCCATCGCGGTGTCTTTCTTTATTTCATCTATGGTGCTTGGATATCGTTTCAACGAATTTTTAATATCGTATTCCGTGTAGCTGGCTACAGACTTTCCGCCGGCGATCGCATAATTCCTGTTAGAAATATTCTGTACACACTTTTCGATTTCTGTTAATTTCCCGGTAATTCCTGTCGAACTGTTGGCATTAGCTTTGATCAGTTTAACCAATTGCGCCACGTTCCTGTCCTTTTCATCGGCAACGAACTTTTGCTGCATTCGCCGTGTCCATTCGGCGATGTTGCATCTAGTGAGCATCGCCAACTCTTCTCTGCTTAAGTGCCATTTCTCGTTATGAAAATTCGCCAGAAAATCAGTAATCGCATCGGCGGATAGCCCGTGCCTTTTTGTTTCGAGGATATCTAGGAATTCCTTGACTAGAACAGCACCGAAAGTATTCTCGATGGACAAGAGATAGTAGGTGGCCGTCGGTAACATTTCGCTAACACGCCAATCTGTCAATCGAAACAGTCTGCGCGACCAATATTTCTCCTTGAGGGCATGAGACCACTCAGACAATCCCAGTCCTTCCAGATCGATTGCCTCGTCCGCGATGATGCTCAACAGGTACAGTACATTCCCGACGCACTTCGTAGAAATCGAGCTGCCTGGCGTGCAGAGTTCCAGCTTCACGTAAAACGACAATAAAATGTTCTTGTTTCCGATTTGCGATAGGTACCCTCTCCATTCACGCTTCTCTGGCAACCGTCTCCTGAAATAGTTTTCGAACTGCAGTAATATCAGTTCGTCTATCCAATTTCTCTGAGGATGTGCATCGACTATCCAACGGAAGGTGTTCAGTTTCCTCCCATCGTCGACGATGCAACGTAGAATCGAGTTCAGTAAGCAATACAATTCTAGAGAGGACACGTGACACCCTTCACTGGAGAAGCGTTTCGATATGTTTCGTAGAATTCCTTGCTTCCCAGTATATTGGGACGTCATGATCTCCAATCGTTTTATCAGCTGTCGTTTTTCTGTAGGAAAATACTCGGAAATTTCAATTATATCTTGTTGTTCGCGGGAACCGTCTTCGTTGCAATCAGGCCGATCGAGTCTCTCGTCTTCTCTCCTCGACAAAAAAGCTCGCCTCGCCAAGTAATCGTCAAACTCCTGTTTTCGTTCGAACGTATCGATTCTCGCTAAAACCCGCCCGTATAAATCGTCTCCTCTTTTGCTGCTTTCCTCTAACTGGAAGTAGTCGTTGTCAACAGTTAATTGCACGAATCCATCGGATATATGTAACACATGAACAACTCGTTCGGACAACGGGTTGTGATTCTCCTCCAGAGACAATGTATTGTGCTCGTTTTCGACGTATAATCTGATATTAATACCAAAGGCGTAAGCCAATAATACTCTGTAGCTTTCCGAAAACGGTCCTTCGATTTTGATATGATCGTGGTACTCTTTCAGAAGCTCTGGATCCCGGTCGTCAACGGTGCTCCAAACCTCGTCTTCCTCGATCTTATCACTCAGAGATTTGTCTTCGATACTTTCTAACTGTAAATGGAACTGTTTAACGCAGAGGCGTGCTTTTTCCGAATTGCTGGCGTCGAAGATAAACATTGTCAAGGAGCGTTTCAGGATCTCACGGTTCCCGTTGTCGCTCTGCAATTCTTTTTCGCAGAATCTCGAGATCTTTTCGCGTTGCTCTTTGCTGTCTTCGTAAAGATATTGATTGAAGGCTCCCAAAACAGGATGGCACAGGCTGTCGGGCTTCTCTTTGTCTTCGACGAGATATCTCGCTGCGCTTTCCGGTGTCAATTCTACATCGTCTGTAATTTCTTGGTAAACTGGCAATAGCTTTGCAATCTCTTCCAAAGTAGTAAGTCTGTACTTCTCTATCAGAAGCTGTTCTATACCCTGCAACTTGCTATCTTTCGTGTCGCCCTGCGGATTAGATTTTCCACGGAATCCCTGTTTAACCGTGTCAAACATCGAAAATAGCTCGTCGAGAGTATTGCGATTTAGTTCTATGCCTCGCAATTGTAACCAATTGTCAAATAAATCCGGCTCGCGTTTCAACTCGTCGATCAAACCGTGAACATTAGCAGCCTCTTTGTATGTGGCACTAGGAGCAGCGTCGGCACGACGCTTGTTTGTACTTTGAGCAATGAAATTGACATGCCGTTTGACCCCTAACTCCATGGTCTCCTTCCTTTGCTGTTCTTGATTTTCATGGATCGCTCGCAAGGCTTGCTGCTTTGAGCTCCCTAAATCGGATCGCAAACTCTGCAGAATATCCCTTTCTATGCAGCTCAGACGATCAGAATAAGTAGCTAGAATACTGTCTTCGGAGATGTTCTTTTTCCTTGAAGCTTGCGCGTGGTGTTGTCGACCGCTATTTCTCCTAGTTTCTCTCTTTCTATCGCATTCTCTTTGCTTTCTGTTCTCGATCTGAGTAGCTACGATTTCAGCATATCTCTTTTCGTATGTACACCATACACGATTGCTTTTATTACCATCGTAATACCGTAACCTACATTTACTCTTTCTGTCTGTACCAAAAAATTTCGGCCATGATTCTGTAAAGAAACCAGATACTTGATAGTCCATGTTACCCATATCCCAACCATTTTCTCCAGGATTACCAGGGCGGCCTCTCTTCCCGTTTTCTCCTTCTTCCCCACGCTCAGCCTTTCTTACGATATCGAATTCCTGCCCGCTTTCTTTGTTTCTTACTATTATCTCTCCAGCATACCCACCCTCACCACCCAAACCGGGTTCTCCGCCATGTCCTCCTGGCTGTCCTGGTGATCCTTCGTACAGAAGAAAAGACTGGCACAGTTGTATACCAAATTCCGCAGCCATAGAAAAAGTGATCTTACATCCGTCACTTGTCTGTGTCTCTATAAACATGTCTTCGTTTATGTCTAAGATAGGTAAATTCATTAGTGTTTCCACTCTTGATGCAAGCTTTTCAAATGTTATATGGGCACCATTAACCCATACGGTTTTTTCTAACGATAAATCTTCTGCCATGTTACGAATAATAGTCGCTATTGCGTCCTTTCTTGGTAGCAGTAATTTAGCAACAGGAGGAAACTTTTCATGAAAGTCTGCTTCTTCGATACCTTCGCCGTTTTTGCCGTTTTTGCCGTTCCCGCCATCTTGGCCTTTGCTACCTTTCCCGCCATTCGAGATAACGATGAAATTCTTGAAATTTTCGATCTTTCCCGCTAAAATTAATACATTGCCGCCACTTTCTCCCGCGTAACCATCTTTTCCTTCTTTACCGTGACCATCTTCGCCAGTCCCCGCATTGGCGGAGCCACCGTCATCATAACTATGATCGCTATCTTTCCCAGATACATCGCAGGTTACTCTATCATGTACTTTCATCGTTTTCGTTAAAATAACTAGATTCTTTCCATGCCATACTTCATTTTTCAAGTCCACGTCGATATGTATGGTATCGCCGGCAACTAAACGTACCTCTTCTATATCCGAATTCTTTAAAAGCGCGTTCTCCAGCCCGAACAAAAACTCGCTGACAACAATATTCCTCCCTGTAACTTGAACAACTAATCGACCATCTAGTTTTACTACTCGCGTCGTCGCCGGTGCCGTGTAAGCGCATATCACTTCCTTCAGTTTGTCTACCAAAAATAGATTTTGTTCCTGCTGCAGACACTCCGCCGCCTTTTTCAAGGTCGCAAGACCTACACCATAAGTGTTCGTATCGAGATCAATGATCCTTTCAAGAAGTTCATCGAACGACAGTTCGCCGCGACGGAAGTCCTCCAACTCCAGCTCGACAATGATCGACTGACGATTCTCGGAGGTACTTAGAAGATCGAGAAAAGTGTCTAGAAAATCTAGCTCTTTCTGAGCAGAATCGACACAGGCGACCATGCGTTCCAAGCACTCTTCCTTAAATCGACTTATCAGTGCTTTCTCGTCCTCCTTGCTTACCAATTTATGCGGATCCGTCAAGAGCCGATGGTAGCGTAACTGTTTGAAAGAATCAGGCACGTCCTCTAACATTTCGATACCGTCCAGCGAACCAAAAACCTCCCGAATGATACCGATACTTTTATTATCTGTAAGTTCTTTAAATGTATCGACCACCTCTGTTATCCAGAACTTCGAGCAACATTCTACGTATTTTCGATCAATATAAGCGTCGTCGATGGAACTGAGCTTATGAAATACTCCTTTTATGTAATATTTAACCTGAGCTAAATTGCTATTGTGTTCTTCGATTTCCCTAACAATAATGTCTTTTATCTGTTGTTTTCCGTCGACATAATCGTTTTCTTCCGGATTCATCAATTTCTTAACGAGATCTTCGTAACTTCTCATATAATGGGTGCTTAACGTAAGCTGCCCGGCTAATTGATATGCCTGTCCTAAAGAATTAGATTGTTGCGCGGTAATCAACGCATTTTTGTATTCCGGCAAAGTAATTGCATTTTCCAGCGCGTCAATGACATTTAACAGCTGAATATTTTGAAGCTGCTGCTCCAAATATTTCCTATCCCGATCGGAGCATTGTTGCAAAGGCACCTGATTTATGTTACCGAAAGCAATACACAACTCGGTGTACTTTCCTATATCGGAACAACCATATTTCGTTAGCAGGTTGTTCTGCTGTTTGTACACTTCGTTCACATTCGCCAGAAATCGTTCGGCATCGTTCTTTAAATCGTTTATCGCTTTCGAATCAGTCTCTCGAGAAACTTCAGAAAGCTTTTCTAAACTGTTTTCCAGAGACCTTTTCACATTTCCCAGGCAAATATTGTGTTTCTTAAGCAATTCGTCATTATAATAGCATGCGAGGTTGTAATAGTGATAAGCTAAACGCTCGCAATATTCAGAATAAGACCAAAAATCAGCATTTTCTCTTATGTCGATCCTAAGCTCCCTAAAACGTACATATAATTCCTTCGCCGCATCTGCTAGCCACGGTTCGCTTCCTATCCAAGCTTTCCAAGAATTTAAGCTTTCGATCGCTTGCTCAACACCAAGTCCACTTTCGCTGATTTGCTGATTTTGAATTTGCTGTCCCGAATGTCTCCTATCCTCATCGGGGCATTGCGATAAGGGAACCGGATTCGTATTACCTGAAACAATACGTAACATAATGACAGGGATCGCGTAACAAGTTAACAAGGGCAAGATCGGGGACATACAATCGCTTCGGAAACCACAGTAGGAGGAAGTTGTAATGTACGGAGTATCCCAAAATTATGGTACTCCCGGAAAATGAGGGATTTCTGAGGTCATTTAAAGTAACTTGTTCCTTAGAGAAAATACAATCCGCGGCTTTGTTTACGAGTTATTAACGAAAAACATTGACCAA